TAGTAGGACAAAACGGCCATCCAGTGCTTCCAGGTTTTTAAATGGTGGTCTAGCTTCAATTGAGTCATGATCTCAACTATTAAAAATCACTGTAATATTCGCAAAACCCCTCCTGATATAATCGACATGTTGTTATATAATCCGGGATGAGATACTGCTCGGGTGCTCAAACCGAAGCAGGTGGTTTTCTTAGAAAGCCACACTCCGAGCATTGGGGCAACGTAAAGAGATGCAGTCCCATGGTAGCCGGTGACCAACAAATTTTTCATACGCCATTTGTTCCCTTAGGATCCTGGAGCCCATGTATACCATTGGTTTGCAATCAGGGTTTCCCAGCCCTCCTAGATGGATCCTCCAATCCGGTTAAAACGATGAACATTGGCTATTTGTCCTCTCAATTTTGTAAACAACACCCCTACCACGAGAAGGCGATCAGTAGGACTTATCTGGCAGTAGTTGTATGCTCATAGCCACTTGAGAACATTTCGAGACGGAGCAGTGACTCGCCCCACTCTCAACTGCACTAGAGTATTTAAGGGCAAAGCATTCTTCTGTTCTATTCCTGACCACAGAGTTTAAACTTTTAACTCTACATCTGAAGCCGAACTCCTCATGTTAACTTAAACATTTATATTCTAACTAGTATAAAATTGGTTTTTCTTTATCAATAAGGCTCATCATTGTCAGTAAATTAGTTTCAAATTGAATAATCTCCAAGATATTCACAATCTCATTGAGAAAATCTTTTGAATATAATTCTATCATTATGAGCAGAGATAGATGATGACTAGAAGTGAAACTTTAAGATAACAACTTCTTATCTTCATCTATATTAATGAAAAATAAATCAGTCAAATTTTTATTGACACTTTATCGTTTACAAAATTGATATCTTGATGCAGTAGTGATTATTATTGTGCGATATGCTGTTTAGGTATGTGTAAATTTACGTACTGATATCTATATAGATTGTATTCAGATATTATAAGGTACACTTAGGTTACCTTTTGATGCATACACACAATGAAATGATGTACTTTTAAAGGTTATATTCGTTACACACTGCAAATAAATATATGTAGTTTAATAACTAAAATCTCTGTAAATCTCCATTGTGATCTTAATAATCATGTGCTCACTAGTGACTAACTTCAAGATGGATTTCTTGGAGTTCTGATGAAAAACTGTGACCAATGGAGTTCAATCTGTTTCAGGTAGAGATAAGCATCCTGTACAGACAATAGATGAATGGTTGTACAAGATCATGGATTGATTGAAATTATACATTAACAACGTTGGATACAGTCTTTGTGGTCTAGAGGTTTAGTGTTCATGCACGAGACCAAAGGTCCTGGGCTCAAATCCCATATGTAGGACTGTGGATGTACACTAATGAGAAGACCCATACTACGACGAAACGGCCACTCAGTGTTCTCAGCTTTTCTATAGTGGTCTAGCTTACATCGACTCATGAATTTAACAATTAAAATACTTAATTGGCACGAAAAACTTTGACCACATACATCATGTAAGACTAGACACATTTGTTTCATTGAGTCAACAGTTTTCTACTCTAAATTTTGTATTCTACTGATATGTGATCTAAGAGATTTGATTGAACAATTTATCCAATCACTAGATTGTAATTTTAAACCACTTAAAAATGCACATAAAGAGGATTATTCTCAATGAAGTATCTATTGACATTCTTCAATTCATTATTGAGAGAAATCAGGTTTCCAGAAGTAACAACGAGATTTGATCATAATCAGTGTGTGTTTTTGGGGTTGCAAGACAACTCCACTGTTATTATTGTAAACAAAAAACCCCAGTCGATCACTACAATATCTTAGTGAAAATCAATACGTTGAGCAGGTATATAATCACTGTGTATATAACATTGTGAATACCTCAAAAGAAAACATTTTGTGTAACAAAACAGTGAAGAGTGGGTATCCCACCACAATTCAATTTTGCGAAGAACAAATTGAAGTCTTTAAGTAAAGATGGATAATGAATAGCAGCGAAATTCAGGACGCTCGTCTCGTCCTATTTGGGACCTGTCAGCTGGATGTACCTGCACCCCAGAGTTGATGTTCACCTCGAGACTCGAACCCAGTACTGTTCGTTCCGAGCGCCATCGCGTTCCCCATTTAGCTACTGACTCCTGACAGCCGCCTGCTTGTTCAGTGGGGCGAAGTTACAATTCACTTGGTATTATTTTACTTGAATCTTTCCATTATTATTTAGGATTGCAATGGACGAGCCCAAAATAGAACGAAATGCGCGTCAAACTGGATACCACTGCTAGGTACTATCCATCTTCGCTTAAAATGCTTGTGACTTAAGGCTATATCGAGGCAATCCGCACAGGATGCACACATGCCAATAAGAGAGTGATCAATTGCAATCCGAAATGACAATGGGAAGATACAAGTAAAACAACATAAAGTGAAATTGAGAAGTTTGTTAAGATTTTATTGTGATCGAGTGAACACCGAGGACATTATGACTTTTGAAATAATTTTACGGACTATTACTATTAATAATTTGATTGCATAATAATTATGTATTTAGATTATTGAATTACGATATTTCTAGCCTTGTTAGCTTTCGTTAGACTTACTAATTATTACTATGGCGTTACATTATTCCTTAATTATTGTTAACTAATCATTTACAGTTTGCACTAGTCTTTGCAATTCATGGTAAGATTGTATGTTAAATACTTCTTATTTCGATTGTGTTGGGATCTAATAATTTATATATAAAAATTAATGGCTATTTGAAACGAAGAGACTAGGTGCTTGGAATATAAAAACAGAAGTTTGGCTGCACTGTTCCCTTATCTGAACTTAAATATGGATGAGAGAAAAAGGCGCTCAGATTAGCGGAACAATAAGTCAAGATTATTTCGTCAGTGCTCAAGGTTACTCATGTGAACCTAAGCATCTCACTAGTTAAGTTCAGTAATCAGTCGGTAAATAAACTGTTACACCCGGACTCGAAATGAATATAGATAGGGACTGCGTAAAAACTAAAGTGTTGCATCTAACTTAGCATCATACAAGTATATTTCCTTATTACGTCACAACTGCACCAACAAGATGCAGTCTAATCTCTCAAATACTCGGACAGTGGATCGCTTGAGCTCCCACAGTCGCTTTGTCATTGACGTGGTTGAAGAGATAGAACTTTCCTCACCCCCCCCTCGAAATGCAAAATGTCACTTCAGGATTGGGTTACATCGACACCCGAACTAGTTATAGGGAATGAAGTAGTTGAGTGTGTCGACCGCTTCACTTATCTTGGAAGTCTCATCAACCCTTGTGGTCTGGTGTGTGACGAAATCTCAGCACGGATACAGAAGGCCCTAAATGACACGTCTTAAATTCGTTTGCAATGGCGCAGGTGCATCCACTTTTTGTGTTCTCCCAAATTCTAATCTTTTGAATTATGTCCCTTCTTTTTCCTCTTTCCAAATTTATTTCACTGGATTATACTCTTTGAATAACATCTTCAAACTCTAATCTTTCCGATTACTGCTTATACTCTTACTATTATGGGATTCGTATCGACAATTGTATTAGTGTGCTAATGTGGTATGGCAACTTGAACTGATGTACGTATGTACGAAGTTCTACGTTGTTGTTACTGACTGACTACACTAGCTGGGTGTAGATCAAATAACCACATTTAGATCCCATATGTAGATAGTAAACAAAAAAAGAGTATTAGACAAGTAATCTAATCCATCCATATCATATTATGATGAAACTCATAAAAGAAATTTTCAAAAAGGAAAATAATAAAGAAAAAACAGATTAAAGGAGAAGAAGAAGAACACAGTGATATAATTTTATTTTCTGCATCTATATTTACTCTAAACAATAGAATGTGATACTTCTCCCTTTAACGAATGAATGTGAATAGAATTAATCATTAAGATAGTTGAAATGATCTTTAATAGTTACTTGATGAAATGAATAAAAGAACAAACAAACAAACAACCATTTCCATAGTATACAATCTGCAATTTATATAAATAAATAAATCTGAATAATAAAAGATGCATTTGAACAAAGAAAAACATGTAACACAAACAAACAAACACACACACACACAAAGAGAGAGAGAGACAAAGACAAAATGAACAAAGAGAAAGTCAAGTTATTCAAAATGTACACATATCATTGAATAGAAGAAGAAGAACAACAAGAAAAAAGTGTAGATGAATTTTTAATGGTCCATGTGAAGAAGTTCAATCTACGGCCTAGAAATTCCACAATGAACAGATTGAAAGAAAAAAGACAAAATAAGGAGGAGGTAAATAAAACTATGCTGATGGAATTATTGTTGTGTTTAAACGTGTGTGTGTGTATATTGGGGATTTGAGTTATAAATGGGACAAATAAAACACACTATTAAATATAAGAAAACTTAATAAATATGAAAGGAAAAATAAAAGTGGATTTATCAATTACACACTTTGTATGTATGTATGTATGTATGTATGTATGTATGTATGTATGTATGTATGTATGTATGTATGTATGTATGTATGTATGTATGTATGTATGTATGTATGTATGTATGTATGTATGTATGTATGTATGTATGTATGTATGTATGTATGTATGTATGTATGTATGTATGTATGTATGTATGTATGTATGTATGTATGTATGTATGTATGTATGTATGTATGTATGTATGTATGTATGTATGTATGTATGTATGTATGTATGTATGTATGTATGTATGTATGTATGTATGTATGTATGTATGTATGTATGTATGTATGTATGTATGTATGTATGTATGTATGTATGTATGTATGTATGTATGTATGTATGTATGTATGTATGTATGTATGTATGTATGTATGTATGTATGTATGTATGTATGTATGTATGTATGTATGTATGTATGTATGTATGTATGTATGTATGTATGTATGTATGTATGTATGTATGTATAAGTAAATGTACAGAATGGACTGTGTAACAAAATAATAAGAAGAAGAAACCCAAAAACAAGTACAGTGTTTGCAGTAATTGTACCATACAACTACATCATACATCATATATGTATATGTATAATGAATATACTGAATAAACAAACAAACAAAATGACGGGAGGGGTGTGGATTCGATTATTTGACATTTCCTGTTTGTTTAAATTAACGTAATTCCAAAGTAAGTGTTTCTTGTGGAACAAGATCTAAATTAGCTAAAGTCATATTTTCATCCATTAAAGTTAACTATAATTGAAATAAGGGAGAGAGTAAAGGGGGTTAATTGAAATATTTGGTTAATATTATACAATAAAGATATTGTAAATCATCTACATCAATAAGTTTAAATCACGAATTGGTTTTAAGATACACCATCAGTGAAAAAATGAAAGCCTAAGGTATTACTTCTATCCTAGTATGGAACTCCTCAGCAGTTCGCATCCATGACTACGCTGTCTGCGGATCGAATCAAGGATCTTCGGTCTCACATGAGAACGCTTAACCCTCTAGATCATTGACCTGGTATTCAATGGTGTTAATGTCCGATTTTAATTAATTCACAATATTGTGTAGCTTTCGCCCATTGACTGAGGTGGATAACTGTCGCATACCCGACATGGTGGAACGGCAATGGTCACAGCTTCTCATTACGACTCCACGAACAGCAACAGTCAGGTGTCCTAAACTAATTATCCTTTAACTATGGTCGGTTCGTCATTCCAATCAAAATCAATAATCTCTATAAATCCCCCTATACTATTAACACAATTAAGTGTATGTATTTGAAAAGATCGACTACGGTGATCCAGTAAAGTTGTTCCAACAATGTCATTTACAAATGACGCTTGTTTGGCTGAATCACGAATAAAAAAACTACTACTAAGTGGTCAGTCAATTGTAAATATCTGTCCTATAGGAGGTCAGCCGTCGATCGCATGGCTTAGTGATAATGTCTTATACTCTGAATTTGAGTGATATGGTTTCCGATCTCAAAAGTAGCACTAGTTCACTTAATATCACAGGTACTTCTATCTGATGAGTACCATCTTGTAAGAAACCTAGATTCAGGGTTTGATTTTTGATATGATTACGGGTGTGTATATACAGATTCACTTTCGTTTACAACAGTTGTCTAATCAAAGTTATTCACATCTGTAAACCGAGATCTTTGAATTCAGCAATTGGTAGGCGTTTACTCATGTAAATAATCTTCAAATAAGTTGTTACATGTATACATATAACAGTTCTGAAAGTGGTTTTTAGATTAAGTAACGTTCTATATTACAATGTTGGGGTTAGACAAAGGATACTTGGTAGAGGTCGGAGACTGGTAGGTGATGTAAATCAGTATCAACCGCGATGATTAAGACATCTTTTATGTATATCTAACCACCACCTACCTCGCCGTACGGTGTTCACTAATGTAGAATTAAAGTGCAAGAAAGCTAGGGGAAATTAAACTAAGATATGGCATCTATTCATGTAATGATTGACTGTTGATCTTAGTTATATTGGTAAATATGGATTACCTGGTCAGGGATTGTGCGATAATCACAACCAATGAAGACACTAGGTGATATGGTTCAATATTATTCACAACAGCCTAGATGAATCCACCCCTGAATTTCAGTATCCCTCCATTCACAACCCTCAACAGTCATTTCGAACCATGTTCTTAATGCCTCGCCTTTTTCGCTATCACTGCTACTACATTGTTTCAGTCTTTTCTGCCATTCATCTTGTTAATTACGTCTCTTTTGTATATATCATATGATAACTTGGGTCAAAAAACATCTGTGCCTGGCTCTAATGTTGATGATGATTTGACTTTGAATTTGTTGTTATAATCACTCTACATAGTTTGATGTAATGAAGCATGAAAACCTGTTTGGTTGACGACAACAACATCCATCACAATTCAGCACATTAAAAAAACAATAGCATTACAAACACTTACATCTCGGATTGGATATGTAGTGAAGAGTTTATAATCTGATTTGGAATAACCTTTCGATTCCATAAACATAAATACATGTTTTAAAATATCTGAACCAGCGAAACGTCGAATCATTGTACTATGCTTTACATTCGGATCATTAGAACACTGAGGAGGTAAACGAAAACGCAACGTTGTAATACCGTCAACACCATTTGGTGTAGATAAAAATGCTTCAGCTGCTGGTGTTTTTGGTGTAGGTGGTTCCGGTGGTAAACTAGCAGCCATAAATAATCGATGTTGTGTAGCTTTTATTTCATCGTTTATACGTTTTTCTTCTTCAAGTTGTTTGCGTTTATCTTCTTCCGCTTTGGCTTTGGCACGTTCCCATTCCTTTGTTGGATGTAAGTGGAGAGCGGGGTGAATGAAATAGGGTACAATAAATATATAACATTTACAAGTAACTTTAAGAACATAATTAACAAATAATGGAATTGAATACAACGATTGTGGCTAACAGTGGAATCCAAGAAATGTGTTTCGTCTTATTTGAAACCTTTATTTCAAATAAGCACTCGAACCCAGTAACTTTTGCTACCAACTCGTTTAGCGGAAGTGACAAAGGAAAGTTAAAACATTTAAAACGGATTCTACCGATGATGGTACAGTGTGAATTAGCGAACACTGAAAGTTATGAAAAGTAGTTAGTCCAAAATGTGTTTTCTGGAGACCAAGAATAACATTACATTAACTCAAATAGTCAACATCACTGGTGGGTGGCAAACAAGTCATCAGCGAACTGTTAAACACAGGAGATAGCAGAATTGTTCAGAAGTGACGAAAAAATTTGATCACTGAAATGAGGACCTAGAGTGTTGTTACAGGTATAAGGGTGGTTATTATTTTTTCTTCAGACACATCGTGAAGAGATACTTCTACTGAACGGGCCTGAAAAGAAAACGTGACTAGAAGTAACGGTCTTCGCGACATGGGAGCGGACTGCAACGCCCGAAGGACAATTGCTTGAAGCCGGTCACATACGATCTTTTTGAATTTTAAGTGTGTTAGTTAATAATTTTAAGGTATTACGACAAGAGACAGAAACCTATCAGGTAAAGTGAGGTCTGTTACTTCTAGCGATAACCTTTTCTAAACTCCTCCTTCTGTTATAGAATAACACTTCTGTATTATTCTCACAATATCCACAAATCCTCATACTGATAATAATCGTGTGATCACTAGTGACTAGCTTCAAAATGGATTTCCTGGAGTTCTAGTGAGGCGCCGTGACCAGTGGAATCCAATCCGTGTCGATTAAAGATGGGTATCTGTCTCAGATAATGGATGAATGGTTGCCCAAGACCATGGGTAGATTGGGATGCCCTCTTCGTGGTCTAGAGATTCAGAGTTCTTGCGCGAGACCGAAGGCCCGCGTGCAGGATTGTGGATGTGCACTGCCGAGAAGTCCTATACTAGAACGAAACGGCTCGTGAATTCAATTATAATTCAATTTGAAATGATTTCGATTATGCACTTGTCGATATTTTTGACTGAAATTTGGTAAATCTTAGTAGGTGCATGAAGTTCCTGTGTGGATTCCCTCGATATAGGCATTATGATACAATATGATGTAGAATGGACAGAATGTGGCTAGCAGTGAAATTCTGGAGGAGCATTTCGTCCTAACTAGAACTAGTCAGCTAGATGTGCATACGTTCCAAAGTTTGTGATACTAGCCAATGGCTATCCGGACTCAGTAGCTAAGTGGATGACGCACTAGTATTCGAAGCGAAGTGCATTGGATTAGAAATCCCGTCCTGGACTCTACTGCTAACCAAATTCCATTTATTCGTCATCAATAATAGTTATAATCGCATAACCGTTCAAAACTAACTTATATTTATCTGAAAAAAAAACCTAGATGAAACGCGTGTCTCTATATATCATCATTTCATAAAATGAATAAATAATACTCAGGAAAATAACCAACCTTTTCTTGATCACGTCGTAACGATTCTTCATAGGCTGCTTCTTGTTCTTCTAGTACACGTCGTCGAGCAATAATTTCACGTTCAGCTGCACATTCCGGTTCTAACAATTCCAAATATGTTGTATAAGCTTGCCATAATTCTGCAACAATTACATCTGGTTTTAAACTACCACAACTGGTGACCACTGACGAGGAATTATCATCATTTTTCACTGATTGTACAGTTGTTGTTGATGATGATGTAAAATGACTGCTACTACTACTACGACGTACATTTAGCAAAGGTGGAAAATGTTCAACTGGTGGCCACATTTTTACAATCCCAGTACCCATTACAATACATAACACTTCTAATTGACTCGATAATTTGACAATCATTGCTAGAATAGGATAACTATCTACCTATAAAAGAATTTCAAAAGATGTTAGCAATAATATTGATTTTAAAACAATGTACAACGAATCATTAGTTGATTGATCACTGAGTACTGATTAATGTAACGTTTATGAAGTCTTTTAATGCTAATTAAATTTTATCGATCAAGCTGCAGGGTAGCTACATTAATGTCAGATGGTTGAAGGAAATCTTAGACCTAGATTTTATTAGTTGGCACTTGTTAGTAAAATGTACCCAGAATCTTGAGGGGACTGGTGCTTAGTGTGAGATTTGAATTTGTGTCAACAAGCATTACTAGTCACAGTCGACTTTGGTTTAGTAAATAGGTGATCCAGGTTCGAGTCTCACAAGAGGCATCAGGTCTGTTTAGATTACAGGTATGTTTGGTTGACAAGTGTTGCACAGCACGAAACCTCGATCTAAAGTCTCCGGTCGCTTACTTAAACGATCAAATGCCCTGGTACAGCCGAGAGTAAGGAGAGTCAGTTCTTCCTCTCGAAATGTACTCATATGGCCAAAAGTATACAGCCACTGTCAGGAAAGTCCTACTCACTGCCTTCTCGTGGTAGGGGTGTTGTTAACAAAATCGAGAGGACGAAAAGCGAATGTCCGGCGCTTTGACCGTGTTGATGGATATAGAGGATCCTAGGGGAGTTGGAAAACCCAGACTGCAAATCAATGGGGAACATGGGCGTCAGGATACTAAGGGAACAAAAGGTGTTTGATTCTATTGTTGGTCGCCGGCTACCATGGGACTGCGCCTCCTGATGTTGCTCCACTGCTTTGTGGATTAGACTTTTAGGTCAAAGGCTTGGAGTGAGGCCTTTTAGGAAAATAACCTACTTCGGTTTCGGATACCCGGGCAGTATCCCAGCTCTCACACAAATCGAATTTTGATGTGTGGTGCACATGTATTTGGTACCTCCTTGTACCAATGTTAAATAAATACATAAGCACTAATTATTATATCACCAAGTAAATTCCAATCACCGAATTCATAGAAGTAGTTAATTCAATGGTGATAATATATAAAAGAAAGATTGTGTATAAGAATATAATACAGAAAGAAGGGTGGAAAGTAATTTTAATCTAATGGTTCAAGGAAAGACAAAGAGTATATACACCAACACCATTGTGATCGATTCTGAGCCATGTCACCAAGAGTCTCCAACCATTGGTTACGATAGTCACGCGGACCCCAACCAAGTAATCTGCATCTACCAACATGACCCAGACTAAAAGTTAGTGACTTCATGGACTGATGCTATGTTTTTGTCTGGCCGCTTTTAACTTTCTTCCAACAATCCCCAACACTAGTCAGTATTGCGCGTTGTGGTAATCGGTGTTCAGGCATACGTAACACGTGGTACTAATCGATTAAAATTATGAATGTTTTATCTACAAAGCTATCATTCAACTAAACACTGAATTTAACTCAGTAGTCACATCAAGGTTTGTGTACTCAACTTTAGGCCATACAATCTAATTACATGGAAGCTACTGATATAAATTTCGGCTTCTTTAAACCAAAGTAAGATGAACAATATTAAAACCGATAACCTAAACAATCAGCAGTATTTTTTCTTTAAATAAAAAAAGAATATATGAAATTCAATGATTTTGAATTCAAAACTACTGATTGACTTCAGTTAGATAGACATTGAAGATCGGAACAAATACTAGATAAAAGTCTCAACTAAGCATAATACTCCAACTCAACAATCCGCATTCATAATCCTATCAACGATCAAACTTAGAAAGTTCAGGCTTTGTGACAAGCGTTTACCTCCCTCACAAATCACCGATTTAACATTTAATTACAATTTATCATTTTAAAACGAAATAACTGTTCAATAAACTTTATAATTCTGTCTGATTAAGGTCAATCAATGGTGTAAAGCTACAAAATTCAACCGGGTCCGTTGTGAGATAGTAACTCACTGATGACAATGGTGGATGTGTCGCTCAATTTCGTGGATTAGTTGAAGTTAGACATTAACACCGTTGGATGCCAACTCAGTGGTCTAGTGGCTAAGTGCTCGCGCGCGAGACCAGTAGGTCCTGGGCTCGAATTCCACTAGGTGGGATCATGGATGCGCACTGTCGAGGAGTCCCACAATAGAACGAAACGGCCGTCCAGTGCTTCCAGATTTTCCATGGTGGTCTAGCTTCAATTAACTCATGATCTCAACAACTGTAATATAAATCCATTGAGAAAATCAATAAATATACAACAAAGAAGACAATTATTTCACTAACAGTTAATGATGTAATTATTCTTGATAAATTTGGTAGTTTCACTTCAAGCCAACCAATTAAACGTTCTCTAGTTCGTGTATGTGTTATATCCCATGGCCATAAACTAAAATCATGATCAGTTAGAAATCTAAGTAAACCAGATGAGCATAATACTTGTTGACAGAAGACATGACATGCTACACTCGCATCATTGTGTAAATATATAAATAATGGTTTACGCTGAGTAAAAAAAAGGGAAAGAAAACAAGTCCAATGAATAATAACAGAAGATGAATATAAAGTAAATACATAATACATGTGAACTGAATATTATTCATTAGTAGGTTAAGCGTTCGCGTGCGAGACTGAGTTTGAATCTCGCGGGGCGGGATCATGTATGAGCACTGCTGACGAGTTCCGTACTTGGATGGAATGGCCGTCCAGTGCCTCCAGGTTTTCCATGATAGTCTAGCTTCAACTGATTCATGTATTCCATTATTAAATTACTACAACCTCCACGAAACCCTGGTCTGATTATATTTTTCTTAACTTTCCTACGATGTTTCCAGAAGCTTCCAGAATAGCAAGGTCACACACAGACCTATAAATATCCTTATTTTTACTGCACTTGTAGTGTCGGCTATTATGTTAAGCCCATGTAACTTATTCTAGCTTTCGGACAGACCAATCCATTTATTATTCCTGAGTCACATTTTGACCATGTTAATTATTCGCTTACCAACCTTGACTGTTTTTATATGAGCGTATGTGCGTATACATTTTTTATCCTATTCATCACATGTTTGTAGCTTAATTTTGTGTGGCTATAAATATTGATTAACGCTTGGTTAAATGGAGTTGGCTCACAAGCCTTCTCCAATGAGATCATTTTTGCTTCGCTCTCTTCTCTTCGCTTCTCAGATCTTTTTGTCTGGACCATTGATTGCATGAAATACACGTATTCGAAATTCATTTTAGTATTTAACTTATTTAATTTCGTTATTGACTAACGTGATCTAAGTCGATAATTATATACGAGAATAATCAAGATACATATATTTCAACAGCAAACATTCATACGATCTAATTAATGTAAAAATAAAGGGCCCCACTAAAGTGATGAGCACGTCGACAACATCGTCCGATCTGATTTACATATAAATGATGGGCCACTAAGTACTTAAAATAACCTTCGAAGGAAAGTTTCGTAACATACATCCTTTTGCTCGTCAACATTCGTGAATAATGGCTGATGGGGAATCCGCTTGAATGATGTTCGTAGAACATGTTCAATTTACCGAAGTTAGTGTTTTAAAATGACGATGCACACTGAATTATTGTTAGAATGGCCGTCTCAGTATTGCACTCCTCAGAAACGTGCACTTATGATCATGCTATGGGTCGAACTCAAAACTAAAGGCTTCGCAACAAGTATGCTGCATTTTCACCACTAAATTTGAATTCAACTACTCAAACGTTATGGTCTGATACTCTAATTCAATTACAAAATACGCGCTCCCTAAACTTTGATCTAATCAGCTACACGAAAGTGAGAAAAGTAGGAATGAGTAGAAATATCTTTTAAAAGTGTGAGCAACCAGGAAGTGGCAACCAGTCTTATACCTCCAACAGAGCTCGATATAAGTATCGGGGCACTGAATGTTCGACGAAGCTATCGAACAAGCCACTGATGTTTAATTTTATCATAGATAACACTTACGTTCTTCGGTTGGTTTACTGCTGAGATTGAAGTAGAAGTGGTTTAGAAAACCTAACAATAATCAGAATAAAACCAGGCGAGATCGACAAAATATGACCTGAATTTTTTCCTGTAACCAAACATGGCAACACTACAAACATACACTTTACATATCAATAAAATAAATGTCAACAACTTACATCACACACTTGACCAGTGCCAACTGATAAAGATAGAGCAGTTTCGAGGCTACATGTAGAAAATGGTGGCGACATAGTCACACCATCCCTACAATAACGTTGTAAAAATACTATACAAAATTGTTGTGTAGCCAATTCTGGATCTTCGAAACTTGGATCATCAGGAACTAAAAACAAAGTAAAACGAATAATAACAAGGTAGGAAAAGTATGTTTTTTTCTTAAAGACAAGGTATTAGGAAATGATGGTAAATCAGTTGATAAGGTTGTGAATCTTCATCGACTGAGAATGGTTGGGCCACGCGTTACGTATGCCCGAACACCGATTACCACGACGCGCAATGCTAACTGGTGTTGGAGATGGTTGGAAGGTTAGAGGCGGCCAAACCAAAACGTGGCATCAGTGCTTGAAGTCACTAACCTCTAGTCTGAGCCATGTTGGTAGATGCAGACTACTTGGTTGGGGTCCGCGTGACTGTCGTAACCAATGGTTGGAGACTCTTGGTGACATGGCTCAGAATCGATCACAATGGCCTAGGTGTATACACACTCTGTCTTCCCTTAAACTGAGAGATTAAAATCGCTTCATATCTTTCTTTCTACGAACTAATACTTTCTTCCTATACTATATCCTTATTGTAATCTTTCTTTTATATATTACCACAACTGAATTAACTATTTTTATGAATCCAGTGTCCATCTTGTTGTGTTAATGAGGTATGGCACCTTGGACCGATGCATGTATGTGCCTGGTCCTACATTGTAACTGACTGATGAGTAGTCAGTCATCATTAGATAATTTACATTGTAACAATATAAATTTCACAATTATCAATAACATATCACTGGATTCATTCACTTAATAATATTTAAACATTTTCATCACAATTCATTTGAAAATCTTCCTTCATTCAGTCATTCAGATCTGACATAGTGGATAATAATTTCCGCCAATGCCCTCACCTTCCACTTACAATTTATTGATAACAAATTCAAAGTGATCATTATTAATCAGTGTTAATTGCTTGTTTCACATTGTTGATTTACGATTTAAAAGCTGTATTTTATGAAGATAATCACTATTCCTTACTGAACTGTCTCTCTTTCACATACACAAAGACGCAAATACACAATCTAGTTAGTATATTATATTTTGTTGATTTGTAAACACCTACTTAATGGTTGATTCCATGGAGTGATTTTTTTATCATCAGTTTCATCAAGTATCTCATCACTAGAATAATGGTAATCCATGTCATAATCTTCTTCATCCTCCTCCTCCTCATTGTCGTCATTACAGTTATCATAGTCATCATCGAATCCCTGAAAAAAGACAAATAATCGAAATAAAAATGAAGAAAAAGCAAGTAGCTAACTCAATTAATGATGAGGATGATAATATGGCATCAGTTTATGAAGCAATGGACTATCAATTTGAGCCGTGCAGGTAGGTACAGACTACCTGATTGGAGTCCGCGGGATAACAGTGATTAAACATTCGAGACGTTGAATGGTGTGGTTGAGAATCAGTCATAGTTGGACAGATGCATTCAATCTTTGCCCTTCTCTAGACCTAAAGTTTATGTGTTTCTTTATATATACCATCTTTACGAGTTGTAATTCTAATGTTTGTTCTTTCTTACTATCACCTCACCATGTTGATGCGATATGGCAATATGGACTGACGTATGTACGTGAATACAAGACAATTTCTGGTACAGTAACTCAATAACCTCGAAATACACAGAAAATTAATTCTGCTTTATCCCATATATATATATATATATATATACATGGTTTATAGTTAATTACACATAAGTTGTCGAGAACAGTAACTGAATAATTAAAGGATTTGACAAATAACCACTACTAAGTGATAAATCTCAATTCCATTTCATTTTTCAACGGAATTAATTATTAAATACTCTAAACACAATTATATATTGTAAGATGATTGAAAAGATTTGTAGCTCAAGTGGATGATTTTGTTGGAGTTTCATCCTCGGAGCTAGATGGTTTGATTGTGAAGTTGTCATTGATCTTCGAAACAACATTATTAGAAGACTTCAGATAGAAGCGAGGTTTCGAGTTTCTTCACAAATGACTGACAGCTTGTCCTGTCGACTTGTATCGTGATTGATTATTGTTGACCTTATTTATACCTGAAGTTTGTGTTAATAATGTTTTTCAGAAGAACAATGGAAGCTTCACGATCAAACACTATCCAGAATATAGAACGAAACTCCACCACAATTATCTATTCATAAAGAATAGGAGTAAAGTAAGGCGATGGTTGGTGATAATCAACAAGGACCCTGCCTGAACTAGGTTTCGTGTCACCTGGGACTCGTCAGCAAGGTATATCTGTAATCTTAAGAGATTTGATACTCCATGGCAGACTCGATTTAGTTTTAGCCTCACAGTCAGAGACGTTACTACTGAGTTATTCAGGTTACGGCTGATCTCCTGTACCACTCAGATGTATTAACGTTGATTGATCAATAAATGGTGACTAGTGTCATGTGTGTCAAGTTCTTCTTTAGTGCTGATCCAATTTTGTCGATCAAGTCGCAGTGTCTCCACTAGTTTAAGAAATTCGACATCGCGTGCACTGTGTCAAAATGTAAGGTAGGAGTTGGAGTCAATCGACCGAACTTTGTGTTTTTAATGTTTAAATGGGAATCATATATGACATTGGTCACCATTTAGTGAGAGATAACAAAACGGTCATACACTTGAATATTACAAAGTATCTTTGTTTAGACGATCATTACAAACTAGAATGTATTGGACAGCTATTTTGTCCTAAAATGAGACTTTTCAACAGTGCTCATCCACGACCTTAACAAGAATAAAATCCAAGACCTTCAATTCCTGGGGAGAGCGCTTAGCATTTAAGCCATTGAACCGATATCCAATAGTTGACATTTCTAACTTCAGTTAACTAAAGAAACTGGACGATAATTCAATGCCTTTAGTGAGTAACTGCCTCATAACTGACAAGGTTAAACCTAACTGCTTAAAACTTCACACACTAGAACTACATACCTCACAATTTCCATCACTAGTAAGTAGAAAATAGAAAGCAAGAAAAAAAACTCACAATTTCTGGAGATACGTTACGATGATTGGGTTTTTTCGAGCTTGATATTTTACGGTTAGACTTATTCCTAGTGGAAGAAGTTTCAGTGATGAGGACGTCAGTAGCAGCAGTGGTAGTAGTGGTGGTGGTGGAAGAACCACTAGGAATATTATCATCAAGAGAATGTGAATATGATTTCTTTGCTCGTTGTTGTAATGATTCGGAATGGGTATCAACAGCATTGTGAGATAATTGAGCTTTACTTGGATTTTTATGATGATTTAATGGATTTGAAGCAGTCAACTATACATAAAGATATAAATATGTGTATGCATAAGAGTAAATTGTAAGGAAATAAAAGAAAAACAATAGTCAGTGAGACTACTAGTGCAAGAATAAACGTTTTGATGCTACTACTCCATCAGTACCGTGTGGACTAGACATTGAGGTCAAATACTAGGACTTCCTTAAGAAAATAACCTCTGTATTAAGTACCTGGATATGACAGGCGACGTACACAAACAAATGATTTGAAAAATAAGGAACTGATAAACGAAGAGAATTGTTTCGTCAGTTTTGACTCAGTTTTCAATTTCTTCTATAAGATATTTAGATTTATACATATCTGATTTTACTTCGTATTGATGCTAACAGCTTTGAGAGTGATAGATGTCGAATACAACAGAATAACATTTGGGAATATAAATATATGTATCGTAAAAAGTCGGGGATTACTGATTTATATAGTCAATATAACCGAATACGTCATTAACTGTTAAGATTTAGTCATTCGAATTAACAGAATACCATTAGCACACATATGGTACTTGCGACTCTCTTTGAAGCCCACAAATAGATACATTGTGGTGTCTTTGCACTTAGATATGTTATGTTATTGGAAATGAACTTACGTTACATATCCTCCACTGGCTGATGGATTAAGATAGACGTTGAAAACAACAGCTCTAATACTATTTTCAACCGGATAACAAAAGAATAAGTCAACATCACTGTTAAGAAAAGTGATACGTTGGACCAATCAAACATCCATCAAATTGTAAGCGCATGTGACTGGCCAAAATATGGCTTTCTTTTTCAAGAAAGACACACTTCATCAGTGGAAAAATGTGGTTTGAACTTCTAAGGGATATACATATAATTATACAGTTAATTCTGTATTTGGCTGGTCAATGAAGGCTTCCTTCTCACTCCTAGTTCTCTTATTTGTGGAGCGGGTCAGTTTCATGTTTAAGAAACCTGGGTATATGTTAGAATCGGAAACTCCACAACACTTTTTTGGAGAGGACACGATAGTGGGGAATGAACACCCAAGTGGAGAAACCCCTAATGAAGTGGCAAAAAAAAACACATCTCATACACATCATATCCAGGACCATAATGGATTGAAAGATCGAACTCCTAAACATCTTACATTCCATGAGTATCATGTCATAAACTAAAAGACACTCCGCTTTCCCATTTAGCTCCAGCGCCAACAAGTAATCTGAGGTGTAGGAATCACTGAAACAGAATTCACAAAACATGTCCAAGTCATCTGAGTCGGTGTTCAGGGATAGTGGCTTCAAATAAATTGACATCATTATATCCGAACACACACCACCACGCCTCGGCATTGTTTACTCTAATTTGCCATTGGATGTGATTAATTCTTCGGAAACGATTATGATAGAACAAACCCGATGAAAATCCTTAGCTTTGATTATTTAAGATTCACAAACAAAAAGCAAAACTGCTCTTATTGTCGCGTTGCATAACAACCTTTTAGAGTCAGATATCAGAACGGTGGCAAAGACGGAGATTTCAGATGCGTTTTATCCTTTGACTCGGATGGTTTATTCATTGGGACTTCACTGACTGTCTGGACAAAATCAGCATGTACTTCAGAAAGAAATGATCTATTAGAATTTCTGGTAAAAATAAACTATGCTTATGATCTTGAGTTGACCAGCCCGGTTTGACGACAGTGCCTCTAGAATTCTCGCGCGGAATTCAAAGAGTGGTGGAAGATAACATATTAAAAACTAAGTAGAAATTGTCTATGTACGGTTCTTCAGACGCTTTAAATTAATTTTAAAGAAATCTTTTCTATAATCAGTGAATGAGAAACGGTGCGTAAACTAGATTACAAGGAATAACTGATCCTAGTGTAGATTGTATATGAGAGTACATGATTTGATTCGAGGGGTGTTTATGTGTATAAAATGTAGTATCCCATGCTAAGCCTCATAACAGAAACAAACAATTAGATTAGTGATAATAATGACAATTATACTTATGAACTTACGCATAAATCACAAACATCACCGGATTTCAAACCACAATCAGCTAATGTTACATTGTCATGACTAGATTTTTGTTCAGCAACATTTGAATGTTTTGACAAAATGGATTGAGTTTTAAACGACTGTTTATTTAACTGTTGAGGATAATGCCGATTCAATTCATTGACTAATGAATCCAACACTTCATTCGATGGTGTTTGTTCACTAAATAATAGATTACTCTTCTTATTATTATCATTACGATTATGTTTTGATTTAATAGACCATAATTGATTTGTTATTGGTATACCAGTAATACGATGTAAATCATTATGTATTTTTGATATATATGAATCACATGGTAAACGTAAATAATGATAAGCATAAGGTGAATATGATTTATCAGTATTTAGTTTATTTGTTTCAGATAGATTCATATATTTAGTGTTATAATTATCATCATCGTCACAACAACTACTACTATTATCAGTAGTAGTTGTTGTTTGCGCCAGTATTTCATTATCACTTGTTTTATATACACTAATATGTAATACAACTTGTCCATTTTGTTGATTTGAATAATTACTATTAAAAAAGAAATGTGTGCAAATGATGAGCATATTTTTTTCCAGTTTGAAGAGAAAAATTTTTAAAAAAAGGAGGCAATATCCAAAGTAAATGGATCTCAATGGTGGCCTAACATCAATCGGTTCATGATCTCAATCAATAATCAATCAATTAATAATCTCTACAACCCTATACCGATAATTACCATGTGCTCACTAGTGGTTAGTTTCGTGTGGGAATTCTCAGAGTTCTAGTGAGAAGACGTGACCAGTCGAGCTAATCTGTGTCGGGTAGAGACAGATATCTACTTCAGTACAATCGGAGATGATCGCTTAATTTCATGGATTGGTTGAAGTTAGACATCGTTGGATGCCGACCAACTAAGTGGTCTAGTAGGTTAAGCGTTTGCGCGAGAGACTCAAGGCCCCGGGTTCGAATCCCACAAGCGGGACCGTGGATGTGCACCGCTGAGTCCCACAATAAGACGAAACGGTCGTCCAGTTCTTCCAGGTTTTCAATGGTAGTCTAACATCAATCGGTTCATGATATCAATCAAGAACACACAAAAAACATTACATATATTAGAAAGTTACTTTTCTTTCAACGGTTCAGTTGAAACAAAGAAAAAATCCACCTTAAATTATGACTGTTCAATGAGTCAACTTCATAGTTCAGATAAGATTAAATGAAATGTTCAGTTGTCTTTTTTCTTACTCTCAGATGTAAAAGATCGGGTCTACAACGCGTCGGTGAGAGCAGTTTTGCTCTATGCTTGTGAAACCTGGCCTCTCCGAGTTGAGGACGTTAGACGACTTTCTGTGTTCGATCATCGTTGTCTCCGAAGGGTTGCTGACATCCAGTGGCAACACCATGTCAGTAATGCAGAGGTTCGGCATCGTGTGTTCGGGCACAGAGATGGTAATTCAATTGGTGTCACCATCTCGAAACATTGAACTCGGTGGTTCGGACATGTTCTACTAAGAATGTTGTCCCAGAGAATTCCACGTCGTGCATTATTTGCTGACACTGAGACTAAGTGGAAAAAGCGGAGAGGTGGTCAGTGCATGACATGGTGTCGTGGTATGAAAGAAAGCTGCAAAGGACTGGCTTCTGTTGAACCTTCACGACTCCCTGGTTGGGGTCCTAGAAATGGTGCAACACAGTGGCCCCCGAATGCCCTGGTACGGCCGAGAGTGGGAAGAGTCCGCTCTCCCTCTCGAAATACTCTCACACGGCCACGCGTATACAGCCTCTGCCAGGGAACTCCTAATCACTGCCTTCTCGTGGCGGGGGTGTTGTTTACGAAAATGAGAGGACGAAAAGCGAATGTCCGGCGCTTTAACCGGATTCCAAACCAATGGTGCACATGGGCTCCAGTATCCTGAGGGAACAAATGGCGTATGAACCAGTCGTTGGACACCGGCTACCATGGGATTGCAGTCAGTCAGTCAGTCAGTAACAACGTAGAACTTCGTACGTACGTACATCAGTTCGAGTTGCCACACCACATTAGCACACAGATGCAGTGGTCGATTCAAATCCCGTAGTGGTAGAGGTAGCAAGAGTATAAGCAGTAATCGGGATTGCATCTCCATACGATGCTCCACTGCCTTGTGGGTTAGACCTTTAGGTCAAAGGCTCGGGGTGTGACCCCCTAAGATAACCACCTGCTTCGGTTTGGGCACCCGGGCAGTATCACAGCCCACACACAAATGATGAACTCTTTATGTCTATGGAAATTACTTTTCTCGCTTTGAAAAACAATCAATTGATTCAAATTATTATCATTACAATTATTGTCATTATTAATACTATTATTATTATTACTATTATTGTCATTATTATTATTATTATTATCCACATTATTCACCCTCTTTTATACTTATACAGCGGCTCGTCTTTGGTGGAAATTCCACTGTATCTAAACGTTCTCGAGTCACTGTCCGGTTGAAAATTGTATGTTACCACCGAATACGAGGACTGAAGCAGTTTTTCTGAAACCACGTGCACCATTCAAACTGGCTGCCTTCAACGTTCGCACATTTATGCAGGTCGGACAACAGATAGGGCTGGCTATGTCTTTGGAAAGTCTTAATATCGATGTGTGTTGTCTATCCGAGACCCGTATTCAAGACTCTGGCGAAGTACTACAAATTCGATCTCCATCTGTCGCTTCGAAAAGCTTGTTTTACGTGCGCTTATCCGGGGACCCTGTGGCATCTTCGTCTGGTCTTGCTGGCGTTGGTGTCGCACTAAGCGCTAGAGCTGAGGCAGCACTAGTCGATTGGATCCCCATTAACAGTCGGTTATGTGCTGTTAGATTAGAAAGTTCCATCAAAGTGAGAAGAAATCGGCGTGAGAAACGATGTCTTTTCGTCATCTCCGCCTATGCCCCGACAGATTGCAGCCCGGATGCAATCAAGGATGAGTTTTACCACCAGTTATCTGTTCTTCTCCAGAAAGTGCGTTCGACAGATATTGTAGTACTAGCCGGAGACTTGAATGCTCAGGTCGGGCGTCTAGGCACAGAAGAGAGTCGTTTAGGTGGCCGATGGGGACTCGTTGGTCGCAGGTCAGATAACGGGGACCGTCTACTGCAACTTTGCACAGACCACAACCTGTTTCTGGCTAGCACTAACTTTCGGCACAGTCATCGCCGATGTGCCACCTGGCGTCCTCCCTCTGCATCTCAAGCCTGGACTCAGATTGATCACATCGCGATCAGCTACCGCTGGCGTGGTTGTGTACAAGACTGCCGCTCCTTTTGGAGTACCTATCTGGACTCTGACCATGCCTTGGTCTGCGCCAATCTTGCCTTACTTTTCAGTGGACAACGAAGTGACGCCATCAACGGATTGATGTTAGCAAGCTGGTTGCAACTTCTGTTGCAAGTAAGTATCGAACCGAGCTAGCCTCTAGGCTAGCTACCACTCCACCGAAAAGTATAGATGAGCATTGGTTGCAATTGCATGACGCCATGAAAATGGCGGGAACAGTCAGTTGTGGGTTTGCGAAACGTCCCGCTTTTAAGCACTGGGTTTCTTCTGGTTCCTTACAACTCATTGAAGCCCGTCGGTCTACTCCGGGTGACCGTGAGTTTGACCATAAACGAAGGATGTTACGTAAGGAAATTGGGCAAAGCTTGCGTAAGGACCGAGAAGCCTGGTGGTCGATGCGTGCTAATGAGCTGGAAGCAGCAGCTGCATCTGGTAACTACCGGAAGCTCTTCCAGCTCATCCGAGCCACTGGCAGCAAGAAGTCTGGTGTGAGTGAAACAATCTGCGAGGATGATGGGATGCCAATCACTAACATCCATCGACGTCTTGGACGATGGGCAGAATTTTTCGAAGGGCAGTTCAACTGGCCTGCTGCTCCGGCAACATCGGTCAGACTGTCCTGCCCTCCATGGCCGGTGACGACTGATCCACCAAATGAGGAGGAAGTCCGCAAGGAACTCCAACTCTTGAAGCGTTACAAATCACCTGGCCCAGATGACTTACCTCCGGCTCTTTTTAAAGATGGTGGTGACTTTTTGACTAAGGAATTGACGACGTTGTTTACAAAGGTTTGGGAACTAGAGAGTGTACCAACGTCATGGAATGAGTCGATAGTTGTCCCTATCTTTAAAAAGGGTTCACGTCGTTCCTGTAACAACTATCGGGGGATAAGTCTACTTCCGATTGCGTCCAAGCTATTGGCTTCCGTCATACTTCGTAGGTTGTTCAAAACCCGAGAAAGATTGACTCGCGAGGAGCAGGCTGGGTTTCGTTCTGGTCGAGGATGTATTGATCATATCTTCACCCTCCGCCAAATGTTAGAACACCGCCATACTTATCAAAGGCCAACAATCGTAGTGTTTCTTGACATCAGGGCTGCCTTCGATTCGTTGGATAGGACTGTTCTCTGGGATTGTCTATTGAAGAAGGGTGTGCCTGAGAAGTTTATTAACATCCTAAAAGCCCTATATAAAAACACCTCAGGCAGAGTGAGGGCATACAACCACCTCTCTCCATTGTTCCATTCGAGCAGTGGGGTTAGGCAGGGTTGCCCAATCTCACCATTCCTCTTCAACTTTGCCATCGATGACATTCTGGAAACAGCTCTGATGAATGTAAGTAATGGTGGTGTGGATCTGTTGCCTGGAGAAAGACTTCTCGACCTTGAGTATGCGGACGATATTGTCTTACTGTGCGATAATGCCCAAGGCATGCAATCCGCACTTAATCAGTTGGCAATCAGTGTCCGTAGGTATGGTATGTGCTTTGCACCTTCGAAGTGCAAAGTACTTCTACAAGACTGGCAGGATTCTAATCCTGTACTCACCCTGGATGGTGAGCAGATAGACGTAGTCGAGAAGTTCGTGTATCTGGGTAGCTGCATAAGTGCTGGTGGGGGTGTGAGTGATGAGATCGATGCACGTATAGTGAAAGCCAGAGCGGCTTATGCCAATAGTAATAAAAATAATAATAATGGGGTAAACGAAAAGGTACGATCAAAAGAAATCTTTCAGTTAAAGAAGAAACATCCATTTTTTCGAAAGTAAAAGAAGGTTACAGCAAGATCGCCACTGGCTTCTGTTCTAAACCATATCTGATAACGGCTCAAGCCACTTATTTTATTATTTATTTATTTGAACACATGAATATTGGTACAAGAGAGCGCCAATATATATGCGCCACACAAAACAATGAGAATTCGAAGAGAAATAAAAAGAAAACTAAGGAGCGCAAAAGAGAAAAAGAAAACAATAACGAAGAGATTGGTGTAAGGTAGTGTGGTAGTAACGAGGGAACGGAAAGGTAAAATCAGAAGAAATCTTTCAGGTAAGGGAGACACAACCACTTTTTATGAAGAAAGTAAAAGAAGGTTACAGCAGGATCGCCATTGGCTTCTATTCTGAGCCATATCTGATAACGTCTCTAGCCATTGTGTTGCACCATCTCTTAGACCCCAACCAGGGAGTCGTGAAGAACCGACAGAAGCCAGTCCTTTGCGGCTTTCTTTCATACCACGACACCACGTCATGCACTGACCACCTCTCGGCTTCTTCCAACCAGTCCCGGAGTCGGCAAATAATGCACGACGTGGAATTCTCTGGGACGTCATTCGGAGAACATGTCCAAGCCACCGAAGTCGGTGTTTCGAGATGGTGACACCAATTGAATTATCATCTCTGTGCCCGAACACACGATGCCGAACCTCTGCATCACTGACATGGTGTTGCCACTGGATGTCAGCAATCCTTCGGAGACAACGATGATCGAACACAGAAAGTCGTCTAACGTCCTCAACTCGGAGAGGCCAGGTTTCACAAGCATAGAGCAAAACTGCTCTCACCGACGCGTTGTAGATCCGACCTTTTACAGCCAGAATAACATCACGAAGGCGCCAAAGGTGGCCCAGATTGGCATAAGCCGCTCTGGCTTTCACTATACGTGCATTGATCTCATCACTCACACCCCAACCAGCACTTATGCAGCTTCGTGATGTTAGTCTGGCTGTAAAAGGTCGGATCTACAACGCGTCGGTGAGAGCAGTTTTGCTCTATGCTTGTGAAACCTGGCCTCTCCGAGTTGAGGACGTTAGACGACTTTCTGTGTTCGATCATCGTTGTCTCCGAAGGATTGCTGACATCCAGTGGCAACACCATGTCAGTGATGCAGAGGTTCGGCATCGTGTGTTCGGGCACAGAGATGATAATTCAATTGGTGTCACCATCTCGAAACACCGACTTCGGTGGCTTGGACATGTTCTCCGAATGACGTCCCAGAGAATTCCACGTCGTGCATTATTTGCCGACTCCGGGACTGGTTGGAAGAAGCCGAGAGGTGGTCAGTGCATGACGTGGTGTCGTGGTATGAAAGAAAGCCGCAAAGGACTGGCTTCTGTCGGTTCTTCACGACTCCCTGGTTGGGGTCTAAGAGATGGTGCAACACAATGGCTAGAGACGTTATCAGATATGGCTCAGAATAGAAGCCAATGGCGATCCTGCTGTAACCTTCTTTTACTTTCTTCATAAAAAGTGGTTGTGTCTCCCTTACCTGAAAGATTTCTTCTGATTTTACCTTTCCGTTCCCTCGTTACTACCACACTACCTTACACCAATCTCTTCGTTATTGTTTTCTTTTTCTCTTTTGCGCTCCTTAGTTTTCTTTTTATTTCTCTTCGAATTCTCATTGTTTTGTGTGGCGCATATATATTGGCGCTCTCTTGTACCAATATTCATGTGTTCAAATAAATAAATAATAAAATAAGTGGCTTGAGCCGTTATCAGATATGGTTTAGAACAGAAGCCAGTGGCGATCTTGCTGTAACCTTCTTTTACTTTCGAAAAAATGGATGTTTCTTCTTTAACTGAAAGATTTCTTTTGATCGTACCTTTTCGTTTACCCCATTATTATTATTTTTATTACTATTGGCATAAGCCGCTCTGGCTTTCACTATACGTGCATTGATCTCATCACTCACACCCCCACCAGCACTTATGCAGCTACCCAGATACACGAACTTCTCGACTACGTCTATCTGCTCACCATCCAGGGTGAGTACAGGATTAGAATCCTGCCAGTCTTGTAGAAGTACTTTGCACTTCGAAGGTGCAAAGCACATACCATACCTACGGACACTGATTGCCAACTGATTAAGTGCGGATTGCATGCCTTGGGCATTATCGCACAGTAAGACAATATCGTCCGCATACTCAAGGTCGAGAAGTCTTTCTCCAGGCAACAGATCCACACCACCATTACTTACATTCATCAGAGCTGTTTCCAGAATGTCATCGATGGCAAAGTTGAAGAGGAATGGTGAGATTGGGCAACCCTGCCTAACCCCACTGCTCGAATGGAACAATGGAGAGAGGTGGTTGTATGCCCTCACTCTGCCTGAGGTGTTTTTATATAGGGCTTTTAGGATGTTAATAAACTTCTCAGGCACACCCTTCTTCAATAGACAATCCCAGAGAACAGTCCTGTCCAACGAATCGAAGGCAGCCCTGATGTCAAGAAACACTACGATTGTTGGCCTTTGATAAGTATGGCGGTGTTCTAACATTTGGCGGAGGGTGAAGATATGATCAATACATCCTCGACCAGAACGAAACCCAGCCTGCTCCTCGCGAGTCAATCTTTCTCGGGTTTTGAACAACCTACGAAGAATGACGGAAGCCAATAGCTTGGACGCAATCGGAAGTAGACTTATCCCCCGATAGTTGTTACAGGAACGACGTGAACCCTTTTTAAAGATAGGGACAACTATCGACTCATTCCATGACGTTGGTACACTCTCTAGTTCCCAAACCTTTGTAAACAACGTCGTCAATTCCTTAGTCAAAAAGTCACCACCATCTTTAAAAAGAGCCGGAGGTAAGTCATCTGGGCCAGGTGATTTGTAACGCTTCAAGAGTTGGAGTTCCTTGCGGACTTCCTCCTCATTTGGTGGATCAGTCGTCACCGGCCATGGAGGGCAGGACAGTCTGACCGATGTTGCCGGAGCAGCAGGCCAGTTGAACTGCCCTTCGAAAAATTCTGCCCATCGTCCAAGACGTCGATGGATGTTAGTGATTGGCATCCCATCATCCTCGCAGATTGTTTCACTCACACCAGACTTCTTGCTGCCAGTGGCTCGGATGAGCTGGAAGAGCTTCCGGTAGTTACCAGATGCAGCTGCTGCTTCCAGCTCATTAGCACGCATCGACCACCAGGCTTCTCGGTCCTTACGCAAGCTTTGCCCAATTTCCTTACGTAACATCCTTCGTTTATGGTCAAACTCACGGTCACCCGGAGTAGACCGACGGGCTTCAATGAGTTGTAAGGAACCAGAAGAAACCCAGTGCTTAAAAGCGGGACGTTTCGCAAACCCACAACTGACTGTTCCCGCCATTTTCATGGCGTCATGCAATTGCAACCAATGCTCATCTATACTTTTCGGTGGAGTGGTAGCTAGCCTAGAGGCTAGCTCGGTTCGATACTTACTTGCAACAGAAGTTGCAACCAGCTTGCTAACATCAATCCGTTGATGGCGTCACTTCGTTGTCCACTGAAAAGTAAGGCAAGATTGGCGCAGACCAAGGCATGGTCAGAGTCCAGATAGGTACTCCAAAAGGAGCGGCAGTCTTGTACACAACCACGCCAGCGGTAGCTGATCGCGATGTGATCAATCTGAGTCCAGGCTTGAGATGCAGAGGGAGGACGCCAGGTGGCACATCGGCGATGACTGTGCCGAAAGTTAGTGCTAGCCAGAAACAGGTTGTGGTCTGTGCAAAGTTGCAGTAGACGGTCCCCGTTATCTGACCTGCGACCAACGAGTCCCCATCGGCCACCTAAACGACTCTCTTCTGTGCCTAGACGCCCGACCTGAGCATTCAAGTCTCCGGCTAGTACTACAATATCTGTCGAACGCACTTTCTGGAGAAGAACAGATAACTGGTGGTAAAACTCATCCTTGATTGCATCCGGGCTGCAATCTGTCGGGGCATAGGCGGAGATGACGAAAAGACATCGTTTCTCACGCCGATTTCTTCTCACTTTGATGGAACTTTCTAATCTAACAGCACATAACCGACTGTTAATGGGGATCCAATCGACTAGTGCTGCCTCAGCTCTAGCGCTTAGTGCGACACCAACGCCAGCAAGACCAGACGAAGATGCCACAGGGTCCCCGGATAAGCGCACGTAAAACAAGCTTTTCGAAGCGACAGATGGAGATCGAATTTGTAGTACTTCGCCAGAGTCTTGAATACGGGTCTCGGATAGACAACACATCGATATTAAGACTTTCCAAAGACATAGCCAGCCCTATCTGTTGTCCGACCTGCATAAATGTGCGAACGTTGAAGGCAGCCAGTTTGAATGGTGCACGTGGTTTCAGGATTCGTATTCGGTTGTAGCATAACTTTTTTAACCAGGCAGTGACTCGAGAACGTTTATATAGAACCGAGTTTCCACCATAGGCGAGCTGGTGTATAAGTCGAAAAATAAGGATACACGAGTGGGAATAAAAGAGAGTGAATAAATGTTAAAAAAATAATAACAATAATAGTAATAATAATAATAATAATAATAATAATGTGAATCGTTTGATTGTTAATCGAAGAAAGACAAGTATTTCCCATAAATATCGACATTTCATCATATTCGTGTGTGGGCTGCGGTACTACCCGTGTGCCCAGACTGAAGCATGTGGTGTTCTTAGGGGGCCACACCCGGAGCCTTCGACCTAAAGGTCTAACCCACTAGGCAGTGGAGCATCGTGAGGAGATGCAGTCTCATGGTAGCCGGTGACCAACGACTGGTTCATACGCCATTTGTTCCCTCAGGATACTGGAGCCCATGTGCACCATTGGTTTGGAATCCGGTTAAAGCGCCGGACATTCGCTTTTCGTCCTCTCATTTTCGTAAACAACACCCCCGCCACGAGAAGGCAGTGATTAGGAGTTCCCTGGCAGAGGCTGTATACGCGTGGCCGTGTGAGAGTATTTCGAGAGAGTGGGCGGGCCCACCCCACTCTCGGTCATACCAGGGCATTTGAGGACTCAGAGAGAACAACACCTTCAAAATTTTTCACCTGACCCTACAAATATTCTGTATCATGGTCGGTTTTCTTCGTTAATAATTTCTACTTTAACTAACCCAGTGTAAAATTTAATGAACTAATAAACAAATTTACCCAAATATGAAATGCTGTCTATCTGTTAGTCAAAAACTATAAAATTACGTTTACAGTCCAAGCAAATCATTGCATATGATTAACCAATAGGGGAATATTGCATCACTTTTCGTGTGTACATGTATGTATGTAGGTAATTGTGAGTGGTAATTATTAACTAATCGCAAGGAGAAAAAAGTACTTCTTTGCGGTTGACATGTATCTAACGCATGACGAAACAAAGAAAGGAGTAAACAAATATGTTGATTTATTTCGGGGATGAAAATGAGGAGCATCGTGAAATAAACACTTACGAGTAAGGTAATGGATCGGATTGAGTTAGCTCGAAGTTTAATACATTTCGGTAGATGTAATGCACGAAGGAGCGTCTGGAATAAAATTACAATTAAAAGGATAGAGACTAATTTTTCCTACCAGTTGGTTGGTAAAGTTTTAGTGGAAAATCATGCACGTAAATAACTGACCCATGAATTTCAAATATGAAACTGCAAAAATGAAAAGTTTAAGTATTTCTGGGTAAAAAATTTAACGTTGAATTCCAACTCCATGATAATTCACAATACGTTACAAACAACAAATAAAGCATTGATTTTAATTTGACATATTCGTAGCCTGGATTGCATACCTTTATGCTAATTCTGCAATTTTAAAAGCGTAGAGGATATTGAATGTTCCATGTGGTTTCATATTGACAGCAGCTACTACCTAGATATGGTGGTTGAGATACTATATCGTGATGACCCAATCAACTTATACTGACTGGTGCTTCTGTTTTCTTAAGGTCCATCATGCCAACCAAGTCAGTTGGAGAAGGATAAGACTAAAAGCAATAACTTAGGGTCAAAGGGAGAAATCATACTGTTGACTGTTCTGGAATATGAGGTCAATACGGTATTTCCCTTAGACAACCAATAATTGCAGACATACTGCTTTCTCACAACGAAAGGAGGGGTAAGAAACGATCACCCCTAAAAACATAAACTTCGTATTACCTCACGGGCTTCCATGTTCGGCAGTAGTCTGAAAAGCACCGACCCAACACAATAAAAACCCCTCTTGAAAACGCTGTGCATGACTACCTTTAAACAGCTATTGCCCGAACGCTGCGGACACTCCCAAATTTTCAAGACCACCAACCTTACCCTAATTGCTGAAGTTCATTTAACCAGCAAACCATAAAGCCGTATAATATCTAAACTCAAGTACTTGAATACCTTAAAACGAAGTCGGTCAAAAAAGTATCAGCAGAAATAAAGGACCGGAAATATTCTGGTCTAGAAAGATATGACATAACAATATAGTTGGACCATGTTATCTACTCGCTTACATTTCTTACTCGATTACAATACTATACAGATAAATACAATTAGACAATGTATTATTAGAAAAATAATTGTATATCTTACTGAGTTGTCAGAAAAAGAATGAGATCCAGAACTCTCCAAAACAAGATGCTTTAAAAGGTTGGCTTTGCTACACTCTGTTATTTTCGATTCTAATTCTGGACTAGTCGCTAACTGTATGAGCTCAGTCAACCGACAGTCAATAAAATGTTGTTTCAAAAATCCAACTGTCTCCGTATCAGGAAAAGGAAAACTTTCTTTTACAACTTTTTGTTCATGATCTGTATCATCATCTATAGGTAATTCCAAATCTATTTCAAAATTCAGGATACGAACTGCTCTATTGGAATTAATAGTAGCTTGATCACTGTCCAGTTCAATAACGGATCGAGAAATCGCTGGAGATATATCGCACCCTGAAATATCAGTATCGATATCACACATAGTTGATACGGAAACGGTCTGAGTCCCTAAGTTATGATTCATTGAGGATTCAGATGACAGAATGGGTCCACCAAGCGGAGTCATAGGAAAAACTGTGAAATATGGAACAGATTGATCTTCTTGGACAACTGATGATCCTGCTAAAAAAAATAGTGAATAATTTACATTTTTTAAAAAGTACGTAGTATTTATATTGAATGTACAAAATCAAATGAAATCATTGATGAACGCCTATTAAATTATTTGTTTGTAATTGACCACCTGTTGAATATCTATTTGAGTGAAGATAAAGTGTTTCCACTGCTAGGATGAATGGTAAAAATTCGAAATCGAGAAATATTTCATAGAATTACGCTTGAAACTGTCAATAAAATAGAAAAAATATTTGCCGACTTTAAAAATCATCATGTGTTCACATGAATATTTTATTGTTGTAGATCAGTAGTGCGAATAAAGGTTAAATAATCAAGATACTGTTTCGGTCTTAGTTCAGAACATAACAGATATATTGGTAGGCCAAATAACACAATAGATGATGCAAATAAGCTGCAAAAGATGATCTCATATCTTATTTTCTGGTTTACATAATCCAGGTAAAAATCGGTGAACAAAAAGTAATTAACAAAATAAAATATTAAAACGAAAATTTACAATAAATGATCAGTTACCACTGATTTGCCCCCAAATTCTCCTCAGCAGTTCTTATCTACGACTGGGCATTTGGAAGTCGAATCCAGGACTTTCGGTCTCACATGAAAACGCTTAACCTCTAGACCACTGACCAAACTGGTATTTAACAGTGTTGATGTCTAATTTTAATTATTCCACAATATTGTGTAGCCCTCATCTATTGACCGAGGTGTATAACTGTCTCATACCCGACATGGTTGAACGGGAATGGTTACAGACTCTCACTACAGTCAGTCAATCAGCTACAGACTAATTCTTTCTTACTGTACTACATCCTTATATGCAATCTTTGCTTTATATATTACCACCATTGAATTAACTACTCCTATGAATCTGTTCATCTTGTGCTAATGAGGTATGGTAACAGATATTCTCACTAAAAATCCAGGAGTTGTATCTCGAAGCCAACCACTAGTGAAAATATTATACCGTAGATCCCAGGATCAGGAGTCATATACTAGGGCGAAACGACCATCCAGTGCTTCCAGGTTTTCAATTACCCTCTAACTTTGATAGGTCCGTAATTCCAATAAAAATCAATAATCTCCACAAATCCCACTATACTCTTAACACAATTAAGTGTATGTAGTTGAAAAGATTGACTATGATGACCCAGTATGGTTTTTCCACCAATGTCATCAACACATGACACTTGTTCGGTGGTATCACGACTAAAAAAAGTGACATCGATTGCTACTAAGTGATCAGTCAATTTTAAATACCTATCGTATAGGAGGTCAGCCATCGGCCGAGTAGCTTAGTGATGTGGTTTCCGATCTCACAAATAGAACCACCCCACTTAAGATTACAGGTATTTCTAGCCTCCAACCGAGAGTGGGGAGAGTTAGCTCTCCCTCTCCAATTGCTCTCACATGATCACATACGTACAACCACAGTCAGGGAAGTCCTAATCACTGCCTTCTTGAGGCGTTACTACTGTCTACGAAATTGAGAAGACAAAAAGCGAATGTCCGGCGCTCAAACCGGGTTGGTGGATATAAATAATCCACCTAGGGAAGTTAGAAAACCCTAATCCCAAACTAATGGTGCATGTAGGTTCCAGGATCCTAAGGGAACAGATGGCGCATGAATCTATTGTTGGTTACCGGCTACCATGGGACTTCATCTCCTGAAGTTCCTCAACTGCCTAGTGGAGTGTGGCCTGCTAAGAAAACCACCCGCTACGGTTCGGGCGCCGGGAAGTATCCCAGCCCACATACAAATCGAATGAAGTGAGGTGCATATATTCGGTGCCTCTTTGTACTACATTTGTGTTTAAATAAGGTTTTCACGAGCCTTAGTGAAGCGTTAAAAAATTACTGGGGATAATATTCTAGACAAACAGATTCCTTCAAAATTTCATTTGGTTCTCAGATATTAGCTAGTAATCGTTAATCTAAGAGCTGGAACTGGACCACTATCCAAATAAGACGTTACTAATACAGGAGACTATAAGCCTATTGTCTTTGGCCTGTAAGAAGAACGATGGTGGTTGCGCTGACAACACGAGCACTGACGGTGAAGAATGTGTCAGTGTACGTGCTATTACGAGACGCCCCAAACACCCGACTGTGGTTGACGGAAAAGTGAAATCTCCGTTAATATTAACGGGAAGGGAAGTACCACCTGACATCGACATTGGTAATCATGCACCTCTAGTGGAAACTGAAGATCCGGATAAAACCGTCACCGTTCCAAATAGTCCAGGTGTCCTGAAGGAAGAAAAATTGACTACAGTAGGGAGAAAACGAAACGAAAAGAAAAAAGCTGTAGGCAGTACGTAGCTGGTTAGTAAGTGATTGGTGGAATCCCATTGTGAGTCACAAAATGCACTGCCAAAGTCTGATAGTAAGAGAGAAACCCACCCTGGTATGACTGGAAAGGAGAATCTAATCTCATCGAATATGATTGTGAGCGAATTTCTGGAGTCAAACGACCCTTATCCCAAAATTAAACACGCGCATGATTTAGAGAATCTGGGAGAATATATTCGTAGTATCTTACCAGATAACTCTAAAGGAGTTCAGGTCAAAAAACTTGTTAGAATAGGTAAGAGGACCAAGGACAACGTTGAACCCCGACCATGCAGACTCCTTAAGGTAATCCTAGGATCGGGGAAGCAACGTGATCTCCTGTTAAGTAGCGCTCGTAGTCATGTCAATTCCAACATTCGAATAAGACCTGATATATCTCTTGAAGATAAAACAAAAAGAAAGCACTAGCTGAACTAGAAACCTGTCAACAAAACGGTGAGGAAAATCTCCGGTTAGTGGAATTTCGGATAGTCAGGTCTTGGAGGCGAATGCTACCAAGGCCTGTGTGGATAAGCCGTTCTACCTAGGAGTTTTATATGCTAAAGCTCGTAGTCTAAGAAATAAGTTCTATGAACTAGAAGCATTAGCGAAAAAATTAAAGCCACTCATTGTAGCAGTGACAGAAACTTGGTTAGTCCATGACTTAGACATTACTCCAGAATTGTCCGGATATCATTACCTAAGGAGTAATAGATATAGATGTAGAAAAGGTGGCGTCCTTTTATGTATAGCCAATAATATAAATATCCGCTTCTCTGCCAGCGAATCCCATGATGACCGTACTTGTGAAGTTATTAGCTGTGAATTGGCTATCGGATGTGGTACATTTATGCCCGGTGTCATCTATAACAGCCCAATCTGCTTAGCTGATGACTTTATTTTAGAGCACATTCAACTATGGAGTTCAAATAACAGATACTTGGTAATAGGAGACTTTAATGCACCTGATATTAGTTGGACTGAGATGACCACGTAAGGATCTATAAACTCCCTTGATAGCAGGTTCCTGATAACAATAATGGAGCATGCATTAGTGCAGCATGTATCCAAACCCACACGTTTTGGTGCTAACTAAGTTTCTTCTCTGTTGGACTTGGTAATCACTCATGAGACTGAGGATATTGTCGACCTAAATATTCTTCCACCGTTAGTGAACAACGATCACGCTGTTTTATCACTCACGTTTAGAACTAGGGACATAATATACGATCAGGTTACACCCCGCCCAAATGTATGGAAAACTCACATATCAGCCATTCAGGAATGCGCCGCTAAGACAGATTGGTTTGTAGATGCTAGCTTATCAGTTGGAGAAGCATGGTCTGTATTTAAAGGTAAGTTTAGTTTAGTTACGTCCTCATTCATACCATACCTGGTACCGCGAAGACCGAATAACAGTCAACCATGGATAACTAAACCAGTCAGGAAACTTCTTAGAAGAAGAAGCGCTGGAATATGTTCATCTCTACTAGCTTAGAACAATACAGGTCCAGTTATTGAAAGATTAGGAATGCCTGTGAAGCGTTAATAAGACCAGACGATCATATGAAAAACAATTGGTTAGGGATTCTAGGTATAGTTCGAGACGGTTATGCTCGTATATAAAAAGGAGAACTCAGAGAAGCGATGGATTTCCATAACTTTTGATACAAGAATATCCGTTAATCTTAGCAAGAAATGATACAAAAAAGCCGAAGCTTTATCGGAATATTTTAGTAAAATGTTTTCTATCAGTAATGAAGAATGATCAACGATTCATTGTGATTGTGGCGACTCGCTGATGGACCCTGTAGTCATTGAGAAAGGTATTGTCTTAAGGCTACTTCAGCACCTCAAACCTGATAAGTCCAGTTGTCCTGATGATATTCATCCTAGGATTATGTAAGCCATGTCAGACGTAGTTGCTGAACCATACTGTTTGACATGTCTCTGAGGCAGTCCAGACTGCCCAGAGACTGGAAAGACGCTATAATAAGTCCGGTGTATAAGGCGATCCTCGGTCCTCTTCTCTTTTTACTTTATTTAAATAAATTCAGTCAGTCAGTCAGTAACAACGTAGAACTTCGTACGTACGTACATCAGTTCGAGTTGCCACACCACATTAGCACAGAGATGCACTTGTCGATTCAAATCCCGTAGTGGTAGAGGTAGCAAGAGTATAAGCAGTAATCAGGAAGATTAGGGTTTGGAGATGTTATTTAAAGAGTATAATCCAGTGAAATAAATTTGGAAAGAGAAAAAAGAGAGACAAAGAGGAATCAGGAGATTAGAATTTGGGAGAGCACAAACAGTGGATGCACCTGCGCCATTGCAAACGATCTTCAGCCATGTCATTCAGGGTCTCTAACCATCGGTTGCTATCATCTCGTGGTCCCCAACCAGGTAGTCTACACCTACCAACATGACTCAGTCCACTTGTCAGTGACTTCATGGACTTGTGCCATGTTTTGGTTTGGCCGCCTCTAGCTTTCTTCCAACCAACTGTAGCAAAATCATCCGTTCTGCTCTTCGCTGATGACATAAAAATTTGGAGACCCATACACAGCATGTCGGATAGGATAGTATTATAGAATTATCTTAGCTCACTGGTAGCATGGTTGGACAGGCGGTCACTAGAAGTAAATCCTAATAAGAGTGCGGTGATGCAATTAAATAACTATGATGAATCGTATCACTATACCATGTGTGGATTTGTGCTACCCAAAGTAAGAAAATATAAAGATTTAGGAGTCATATTAAGCATCCCTCACACAAATCGGATGATTTATGTGACGCATATCTATTTGGTGCCTCCTTGTACCAATGTTTATGTGTTTAAATAAATAATATAATAAAATACATATTAAGCAGTGGTCTCAAAACCACTAGTCACTGTAAGGCTGCTGCCGCGAAAGGCTATAGGGTAGTATGGTCTATTCGTAGGACGCCTAAATCTTTTCCCCTTGTCGTATCGTAGAACACGGTGACCTTATACTGGCATTTCGTATCTTTAATTATGATTTGGGTGTTAATGTCTTATCTTTTTGCTCCCTCCAGCACTAATAATCTCCGAGGTCATAGCAAGAAGGTTCATAAACCACGATCTAATAAACTGAAAGTGGGATCCCGTTTTTCTCATCGAGTAGTCAATCATTGGAACGCCTTACCCGAACAAGTGGTATCAGCCCCATCAGTGAATACTTTCAAGGAAAAGCTGGACCTTCACTGGAAAGCAATGTGTCAGGATTAACACAGGTTCATCAACCTACTATCCTTATTACTGAAGACTGAAGGCTTTACCGACTGACCAATACAATTTTATGTAAGCATTGATTTCCAATCACGAATAATTACATCCAAATGTCGTGCGAACTAGACACACGACTACTTGTATTTTGGCATCGCTAGCTGTATAAACTAATATAGCTAATAACTACAACAATTACATATGTTTTTATCAGGAAACTAAGGTTTATAAACTTGAGGGGATCAATGTTTTCTAATCCCCTAGGTGAGGCCCATTTCTACATACATCAACAGAACTTATGCATTAAGTTTGCCAACCATCTTGTTCTTAGCAGTAAAACACTCGCTACCTAGAAGCAGTAAAGGGGACTTCCCCAGGTGTATCAGAAATTTTTGGTGTGTTTACAACATTTGTTATTACCTGGCAACACGTCACTAATAATGCTGGAAACAGCGGCCGTTAAGTCCCAGTTATGGCCTTCCAGTACTGATATTGCATAAGTGATATCTGTTAATCCAGTACACGCCTATAGAAGTCAAATAATATTAGGAAGCGCATGCTCAAAAATTTAATATTCAACTTACCAGAAAATTCTCAAGCATCGTATCCCTGTCCATTGCAGGCAGAATAAGGGCTGACGCGAAATTGAAGCAAACTAAGATGGACTAAGATCAAATTCTATTAATTCATCATGCGCAAATCATCCTAATAGAGAGATATCTATGGTGAAATCGGAAAATTTTGAAGCCTTCAAGGTCACCGAATCCCCATGCTCAATAATGGTTCAAATGGTTCAAATGGTTGTGGACGGAATAGAAGAAGCTTTCGCTTAACAGGCTTCCGTGTCTAGTAGCAGGGGATCACCAAATCCTCCAGGCAGGAACCTAGGTATGTTAACAATAAAAAGGAAAAGAAATTGGTAAATCATAATGTGATGCTGTCCTTGGTCCTTAAGAATAGGTCAAGTTGCCTCTTGAAGGACTCCTGAGAAGTCGCTTGGACTAGCTCGGCCGGCAGCGAATTCCAGCTTTTGACAACTCTTAAGGAGTAGAAGTTGTGTCTACATTCCGTCTTGCTATGTTGTGTTTCCAGTTTCTGGGTGTTACCCCTTAGGTTATTATTCGAACTAAGCTTAAGTAGGTGTTTAAGAGGATGTCCAGAAGTGTTAAGAATACTATAAGCCATTAGTAAATCACCTCTAAGACGCCTATATTCTAGTGGGTAAAGGTCTAGTGAACGGAGGCGTTCTTCGTAAGGCTTAGATTTGAGTCCTCGAACTGATTTCGTGGCTCGCCGTTGGATACGCTCCAAAGTGACCTTGTCCTTCTGGAGTGAGGGGGGAGTACTATGTTTCCGTACTCTAAATGGGGACGGATAAAACTATTGAAGATTGTGTGGAAAGTTCGTCCGTCAAACTGTCCAAAAATGCGCTTCAACGTTACCAGTGCAAGGTTTGCTCGGAAGGCATTTTTGTCACAGTTAGCGTAAGACTTTAAGTCATGGGGCACCAGGACTCCTAAATCTTTTTCGACTTGGGATACTACTAGAGAGGAGTTTCCTAAGTTGTAACTGTAGTTTGCTACATGTCGCAGATGGACTACTTTACACTTTGAAGTGTTAAAGGTAAGTCCGTTATCGTCTGCCCAACTTTGAAGTCGCGTCAGATCATCCTGAAGTGCCTGTGTATCGTCTTGGTTGCGTATCTCTCTCCAAAGTTTCACGTCGTCGGCAAAAAGTAATAAATCTGACGTTACCTGTTGAGGAAGATCATTTATGTAGATCAAGAAGAGAAGAGGCCCTAGTACTGAGCCCTGGGGGACCCCACTAGGACATTCCATAGCCTGAGATAAAGTGAAATTAACCCTAACCTTAAAGTGTCGATTTTTTAGGTATGAAGTAAGCCAATCGATTAGAGGTGGTTTGATACCTAGTCGTTTGAGCTTGTTGATAAGACATAAGTGGTTAACCTTATCAAAAGCTTTTGAGAAATCAAGGTAAATGACGTCAACCTTTCCCTTGCAATCGAGGATGCTTGTCCATTTGTCCACCGCAGTCAGCAGGTTGGTTATACAGGAGTAACCCTTCCTGAAACCATGCTGTTGGGGTGAGAAGAAATTTAAGGACAGTAGATAGTCATTTAAACCGTCGCATATCAGGGACTCCATGAGTTTTGAAGGTAATGACAGAAGAGCCACCGGCCGATAACTTGAAGGTTCATTGCGTCGACCACCTTTGAAAATTGGTGTGATGTGAGCCAACTTCCAGTTTTCCGGTAATTTGCCTCGGCTAAGCGAGTGTGAAAACATCACGCTAAGCGGCGTTGCCAGGATTGAGGCTGCCTCCCTCAGTATGGCAGGATGAACCATATCCGGGCCAGGAGAAGTGTCAAGTCTTAAGTGCTGCAATTTCCGGAACACCAAGTCAGCGCTTAGGTCCACTTCAGAAAGTCCTGTGGAGTTGGAGATGAAACTGTCGTCAATAAAGTTGATGTCAGCCGGTTGAAATGTTTGAGAGTAATGGGCCGCCAGAAGGTTAGCGGCGTCGCCATCGTTGTTGGTCGGGCCGTTAAGACCTAGCAGTTGAGAAACTCCTGTTTTGGCTTGACGAAGAGAGGCTGCATAACGGAATAGGCTTCTAGGGTTAGAGGCGAATTTGTCCATAAGCTTTGTTTGGTACTGAAGCCTGTCTTCTCTTATAGCCTTCGTGCATGTGTTCCTGATATGTTTGTATTGCCTATACGCTCCATCGTTATTAGTTCGTTTGTATTCCGCCCAACAGTGCCGTTTGCGGCTTAGGAGGCGAAGGGTACGGTTCTTGATTACTGTAGGTGGCTTGAAGCTCTTGGGAACCGTTTGAGGAACTGAATGGTCTGTAGCACATAAGAGCGTGTGCAGTAAAAAGTCCCAATGACCATCCACATCGATTTGAGGGTGAACATCCCAAACGACCTGTTGTAGATAGTCATGTAGAGCTGGCACGTTCAGCCGTTTAAAATTCCAACGCAAATTATTGTTGGGATACCTTAGCTTAGTTTTGATGACAAAACTGAAGGCTATGACGGCATGATCGCTTTTTCCCAGAGGAGCCAGGATTGAGAGGTTGTCGACTAGGAATTCTTCGTTAGTGAATACACAGTCTAAGCGCGATGGTGTCTGACTGTTTCTCCAACGAGTTGCCGACCTCACATTTTCATATAAGCCCAAGTTATCGATGAGGTTGTAGAACCGAGCTTCAATTGAGTTGTCGCCTCCAGTGTACGTGTGTTCCGCGAAGTTGACTCTAGGGAGATTAAAGTCCCCTAGAATCAGGATGTGTGTGAAACCGAGACGGATAGAGCGGGATAGTCCTTCCAGCATACGACTATCGTACTCGGTGTCGGCAGTTGGCTTCCTGTAAATGACTCCGACTAGACACCTGGAAGTACTAGACAGTCTTACAGAGCACCATATGGATTCCTCAAGATTGTTAAACTCGAGGTTGTGAACCTGGTGCACCTCCAAGCAAGAGCTTATGTATATGGCTACTCCGCCCCCAATTCCTGTTTTTCTGTCGTTGCGGAACAAAGTCATCCCAGTCAATGCTAACTCTTGGTCCGAGAACTGAGAAGATATCCAGGTTTCAGATATTCCTATCAGATGGGCCTTATTAGCGCTGCTAAGTTCACGTAGTTCATCCAGTTTGTTTGGTAGACTCGCGGCGTTCATATATAAGCAGTTTATGCTTTCAATTTGGAACGCGTGAGCTTCGTCCTGTTTTTCTGTATGAACCTTGTGTGAATGGACAGGTAGCCCACCTATGTGAGGTTTGCCGAGGTGGTAGGCCCTGTCCTTTACACGTTTTTTTTATCGTTTAGACAGTCCACAAGTGGAATGGTCAGCTCCAACTTGCCTTTGTTCTTGGTCCTAACTTCGTATGGCCTATCCGGGTGCATGTGGATTCCAGGTGGCAATCGACGTCTATTAGCACGAAATGCTTCCAGAACTGCAGCCGCCATGTGGGAAGATGGGAAGGTTATCTTCATTAGACGGGGTCTAAGATCACCGTCCTTCTTGGCTAGTCTCGTCACATGCTGAGTCAGTATGTGTTTGAGCCTCAAGGACTGTTTGATGAATTTCCATTCCCTGATGTCAGAATTTGGTTGGGTAGGGTCTGCATTTTCCGGTATACCTTGGACAATTATGTTTCTTCCGCGGAAAAACTTCTCGCGAGATTCTTTAGGGACGTTTCGTATGATACTGCGCTCAGAGTACGGTATGTCGGGCAGTATTCTTACGTTACCATCTGATTTCAGCAAGTGGCTTGCTAGCAAGACGTCCTCTACGTCGGTAGCATCCTTAAGTGTTACTCGGAGAAGCCTCGGGTGATTTAGATGCTTAGAATCCTTTCCTCGAGTGAGCCGGGTGACCGTCAAAGGCTCTATTCTAGGAAGTTCAAGCTTCTTGTTCAATTCACCCCAGAGCATCCTGTCGTTTTTGTCCTGCAGACTGAGAGGAAGATCAGGGTTGTCAACGAGGTTCATGATAATGAGAGAATCGTCACGAACTGTTGTTAATTTACCAGGTTTCACGATGGGTTCAGGTTTAGTAACTTGTTGTTTGGAGGTCAGTGTGCGTTTTGAATCATGGGCTCTTTATTGGCCGGACGAACAGTCTTGGGGGTAGACTGTGCGACTAAATCACCAGTTATTTTCCGTGCAGCAACACTTGGGTTGCTCGGCTTAGGCAGTGATGCCTGGTTCTTTTGGGCTCTCTTAACGTGGGTCGAATCACCTGCAGGGTTTTTGGGAACCACTGTTGTGTTTGGGGACCCTGAGCTGGGAGACCCGAGTTTGCCTAGGGAGTTCAGTACCGTCGACGTAATGATGGTACTGAGCCTCGACACGTCGTCGTTAGTGTTGATGGATGCGCCGTCGATGGAATACCTATCGACATCCCTGTTTTTGAGTCCGTTGCACGCTCTTGTTTGTATATCAGTTTTTTTGCTATCGTTTTCCAAGTTAACTGACAACTTGTTCCGAAGACCTGTCAGTAGGACAATGATGTTACTCAGCAAGACTACGGAGTCTGTGTTGCACGTGACACACACCCACTTTTGCTCTGACTTGCTGAGTCTGTTGTAAGCAGTTGCTGTCAGATCTGTGCATGCTTCGTGGAACCAACCTTTGCAGTTGTCGCACTGCATGCCAGTTGTGACAGCAAAACGGCATCCCGGACGTTTGCATGAGTTTTTCATGACGGTGTTGAAGCAAATTATGTTATAGATGCTTGCAAGAGCCTAAGACCTTTAAAAAAACACTAAAAAGCACACTGAAAACGGACAAAAATGGACAAAACGAGTGATATAAACTGAAACTAGTCTATACGTGAAAAACAAAAAAAACCGAATAGTAAGCTGAGGCAAAACCACAGGTAACTATTAAATATAGTGAAACTCAAAAAAAAGTAATCTACCGAACGTATAGCTCAGGATAGATTCTTTAGAACTGAAATGGTACTTTTGTTGCGTAAGAACACAGCAAAAGTTTGATAAATGCAAATCACGTTAGGACTAAACTTCCCGTTCAAATGGTTCAAATGTTTTGGGACGCAACAAAAGCTTTCGTCTAGTGGGCTTCCGT